CGGGATCGGGGTCCCACGGGAGCGGGGTTCCACGGGGGGTTTTGACATCCCTATTCATACTTAGTGTTCTTTAGAAGTTTAAGGCCAAATATGGGCATTAGAGTGAGTGTATGGCCATGCAAGTGAGTGTGCGGCTAGGGAATGCGGTCAGACTTGTGTTTGAGGCTGCACACAAAAGTGTGCGGCTATACAGAGGGTGTCTGCGGCCGTACATAGGAGTGTGCGCCGTACACTCCTCATTTGAGTCCAAATATTGATTTTTGAAGTGTTTTCTCTTCACTAAGGGGAGTTTTGAATGTGTGCGGCCACCATAGGAAGGTGTGCGGCCGTACACCTTCAAGGGACGAAGAACATGATGAACATTATGAGTTTTAAGCTTAGATTCAAGTGTTTACCACTATAACCAACTAGATGATGGAGTAGTTCACGATTATGAGGCCTTCAATGTGTTCTTGGTTGATGATTTTAGAGAGAGAAAGTAGAGAGGGAGAGAGAGAGAGAGATGATGCATTCAAGAGAAGAAAAGAGTGAATGAAGGGGGTCTTCTCAATATATAGGGTTGGGTGTGAGGATGGAGGGTGTTTGCGGTTGGGTGTGTGGCTGGCTGGCCGCACACACGGGTGTGTGGCCACACACACCTTCTTTGGTATGTTTGACCCGATTTTGTGATGCTAAACACTTTCTAACCCTTCCCAAGACTCATATCTAGATTATACTAAACCTAGAGCACCCATATGGACCACAAGATTCATTAAAAGATGATATATTCAAGTTTTAATACCGATACATGGATCAATTACATAGGATAGAAGTTTTGGGTTGTCACAATCAGCCACAAAAATAGGCAAACCATGAAGAGTCGGATGTTTGGTTGAGTTTAACGAGTCCAAGAACTCCAAAGGTGCCCCTGATCCACCTAGGGCTGGAAAGTATATATTAACTTTTTTATTATTAAAATTGCATTTTCTTATAGCAACATTGGAAAAAATAGAACCAATATATGTAAAGCATTGTAAACTTTGTTGTTATTTTCTGTTTTTTAATAAAAGACTATGAAATACACACCAATCCCCGCAACTCGCAATGCGAGATTCTTCTCTAGTTTTATATATTTTAAAACTTTCAATTATTTTTGTTAAACACATATCTAATATATAAAAACTACAACTTAAAGCTACTAGCTTTTTTTTTTTTTTTGAAAAAAAAAAATCAAATTTACTATTAAACTACTCCTTAATTTCAACTGCACCACGAATACTCGTCCTCAAGAAAGAATGATACCACTTCATACATTTGAACTAGAAACCTTTAATACCAACTTTGAGCCGGTTATGTCAAAACATGTCCTTAATGGATTGAAAAATATTATTTCTCTTCTTCTTTTCCGAGCGTCAAAACCACGTTATCTATGTTTATAGGTTTCAGAAAGTTACTTTATGCAATGGAGAAAAGGTTTACGTTTTAGAAACATAATGACAAAACAGAAAAAATGAAAAGCCACCTTATAGAAAAAGATAAACGCATACAAAACATGGTAAACACAATATCTTATACAAGAAAAGTTGTTCATAGTTGAATAAGAAACATAAGTACATAACTTAATAATTATCGCATCGTTGTTGCAATGGACGTGTAACAGGACATCACCTTCGAAACAAGACATAAGATGTTGATAAACAGAAATTATTGCTAAACGGCATAAATCTCAGTGTTTTGAAAGCATAAAAATTTCGTTTTCCAGATTTTTTACCATAATTTTTAAATAGAGAATCTTTTTATAAGATTTGTAAATTCTATGAAATTATAAGAAATGATTATTGATAAATAAACAAGTAATTATGAAAAAAAATATTTAAAGGACGTTATATTATTTTGAAATAAGTCAATATAAAATTATTGATATTTTTAATCAGAAGAGCCATCGTAGTGAACAAATTTTAAAAATCAAAATAAATAAAACATGAGTCAACAGAAAATGGTGAAGAAAGGGACTACCACTTTGAAATAAGTAGAAGAATAACGAATGGACATTTGGTCCAACCCATTCAAAGACATATTCACCTACAAACACTTTCATTTTGAAAACAACCTTTTAAGAAATTAATGCACCATTTCTTGTGAAAATGCCATTTAAGCGTGTTTTAGGTATTTAGATTCCATACATATACATAACCATGAAGATATAATAAGAATTTTATATCTTACCTGAAATTATATTAGTTATTGTATCAAAAGATAAAAGAACTATAATTAAAATTTATTCTTTATTACTTTATATATATATATATATATATATATATATATATATATATATATATATATATATATATATAGACACACACATTTACAAGACTTAAACCTCAACCGTTTAGGTAGTGATACATTTCAACCATACTTGGATATCGCTAGGGTAAAAATCATCCGCTATTACAAATAGCATAAAACATGCTATAAATTTATTGTTGTTATATCTCTTCGGATATAAAAGTGAATTGTATCAAATTATCTAAAACTCTTGGATTATGTGGTGAGACAAATAAACAATAATGTTATGATATCATCGAGACCGGTGAAGAGCATGAGCAAAATGGGCATATGTATAAGACCCACTTCTTTAAAGGGTCCAAGTTTTTTATACTATATTTAGAACACTACCCATCAAATGAATGAATTAAGTTACGATGAATGTGAGAACAGTGAGAACGAGCGTTGAAGCCTGAAGCAGTTGTCATTGTCGATAGCCGATCATTGATCATTCAACGAGTGCAGCCGACAAGGGTTAGAGTTACTCTCTGTTAATCAATTACTAATTAGGTAACCGTTCAATTTCATTCAACATTCATATATCTAGTTTGCTTTTTGTTCAAGAATTCAGAATTCACAAATTGATTAATTTATGTTATCCAGAATTAAATGTTATCAAAATTTTAATGTACTTATGTTTTCAGAATTCGAAAATTGTGGAATCCCTTAAAAAGTTCAAGGAACGTGCACACAAAGTGTTTATAAAAATGCCCAATAAGGAACAAGATGTGAGTATAGAAATAAACACGAGTTTTCATAGGTTTATCTCTATAAAATTGTGAAAATTTTCTCTTTAATATTACTTTGGTTACTCTCTTTGCAGGTTTATATACTCGAAATTATGTATGTGTGCAAGAGGTTTTACCTAAGTCTTGATACAATTGTTTGGTTTGCAGCTCCTCTGTTATTATCAACTTCAGTAAACAAATCAAGTCGACGACCATGAAAAAACCATATAAATGGTTCTTAAAAGAAAAAAAATTGATCATGGGTATGTTGGATTGAGGGACCGAGCTCATAACTACAATGGTATATTCTTGTAATTAAAAGCAAAGTCCTTTTTCGGTTGCCCTCATAACTAGAAATAACTAAAATGATATTATGAGAGAGATAGAAAAAACATAGAGAATTGATTTGCTAATTTATTATGTTATTAATAAACTAATATGAAATCAATAGATAAATAACCGGTTTGTTAATTTATGTGATTTATAAATTAATAAGAAATTAATGAGAATTAATTCAACTCTCGGTAGTCAATGCACATACGACGAGATCCGCCATTCTTCTTCACAAACATGATCGGTGCTACTCAAGGCGAACTGCTCAGTCAAATAAATCTCTTTCCAACAGTTCCTACAGTTGTGTGGACAACTCCTGCATCTCAGGAGGATCCAATCGATATGGTGCTTTGGCTATCGGAGCCGCACCTGGAACCAGATCAATCCTGAACTCCACCTGCCTCTTAGGAGGCACCCTAGGCAAATCCTCTAGAAACACATTCGGGTAATCCGGCATAATTGGCAAATCATCCATGGTTGCCTTACCCTTATCCCAGGTATCGACGACATAGGCGAAATAACCAGAACAACCCTGCTGAAAATAATATATTGCCCTCGCTGCAGAACACAAACCAGCCCATGCTGCATTATCTCCTAATGAATCACCAACTCTCCCCCACTTGGGGTCCGAACCCAAACTACCTGCTGCTCACAATCAATCACTGCCCATCAGGATTCAACCAATCCATACCCATAATAAACTTGTTCCTACACAATGTAATGGGAACCAAATCAAACAAATACTGCTCGCCAAATAAATGGTGAGTACATCCCCGATGAACCCTCGCAACCCGGACAATCCTATAATCAGCAATCTCAACATCTAAAGGACAAACCAGCTCCCTCGGAGCTGCAACAAATCTCTTGCTAAGTGCAAGGGAAACAAAAGATGGGGTAGCCCCCAAATCAAACAATACCAATGCGGCAATACCGTTCATGAGGAATGATCCTAAAAATAAAACATATAAACATAAGCAACATTTCAATATAGATAAAGAAACAAGGAAAATATACCTACACATCATCGTATCGGGAGCTGCACACGCCTCCTAGGTCATCACCTGGAAAACCCTGCTCTTCACTATAGGCACGTCTGCCCGATCCTGGCGGCCGTTAGTAATCCGAAGAGTTGCAGGAGCGGGTGTTGACACCAGTCTTGTTGTAGCCAAACTCAGAAAATGGGCCTTCTTGTGGCCCTTCTGATTGAAATGAAATCAAATTAGATCAGATCCCTGGGTGGCGGTAGCAGTACAATCCCTGCTATAATGACCCGTCTGGCCGCACTTGATGCACCCAGAACCACGAACCTTGTACGATCCCTCGTGCGCCTTTTCGCACTTGCCACAACGGCTCCGACCCTAATGGCATCTTGATCTAGACTTAAATACCTTGGGCCTTTTGCCCGAACCCTCAACACTCGACACAGAGTCTGGCTTCCTCTTAGGCCCTGTTTGGCAGCCTCTTAATTGAAAAATTAAGAGGCAGACTCTTAATTTTTCAGATTTAGACTGTTTAGTTGCATATGAATTTATGCCTCTTAATTTGTAAGATACCTCTTAAACTTTCAGATGTAAAGACATGTATGGAAAAAAATAAAAAAACTCGTGTTCCCCTTTTTCCCAAATACTTCATCTCCTATTCGCTTTTCTCCGCCCTCTCTTCTTCATAAATTTCGCTCTTCTTGCTCCTTCCCACTGACACTCCGATTGCAACCCTTCCCCATCCCCTTCGGACACCGCCTCCGCCAGAGACATCGCCTCCATCATCGCCACCAGCAACAAAGCCCTCTAGCTTTCTCATCGACGCTGGTTCTCTTCTGCCCCTTTCTCCTCCAGCTCCGATCATGTCTGCAATGTTGTCGTCGTCGTCATCTTCGCCTCCGTCTTCGGCTACTTCGCCTCCGTCTTCCGCTGCTTCGCCACCATCATCCGCTGCTTCGCTCGTGCTGCCTTTGCCTCCGACATCTTCTGTAGGTAACATTTTCTTTTTCTCTTGTAATTCGATTTTAATGCTTTAAATGATGAAAAACTGAATGAAACAAGCTCTGTAAGCCATGAAAAGGAGCAGGAAGCTCTTGTATGCAGAACTATGCTTATACCTTGGATTGGGGAAAGAGGAATTGAGGCGAAAATGGGATCGAATGGAGGAAGATGACAAATGGGTTTAGGCTGAAGAATTCAGATCCTCTTATAAATTTAGACCTCTTAAAAATTCAGATCCTACCAAACAGCCCCTTACTCTCTTTCTCCAAATCAATTTCCCTCTCCCTAGCATGTGCTATCATATCCTGCAGCGTCTTGCAACTGGATCGACTCACAAACTGCCAAATGTCACTCCTCAACATCTCATGATATCGCGTCTTCTTCATCTCCTCATCTGCCACATACTGCTAAACCAGAAGTACCCACTCCTGGATCGCGGTGATCTCAACCACCGTCTCTATAGTTTGGCGAAGATCTTGAAACTCTCGCGCCAACTGTTGCACCTCAATCACTGGTGCAAAATCAGCTTGGAATCTGGTTGAAAAATTATCCCATGACATCACATAAACAACATCATTATTCACTACATGTCCTACCTCTTCCTACTAGTCTTGTTCCCTGTCCTTCAAAAGGTAGGAAGCTAGTCTGACCTTTGCCTCCTCGGGGCAATGGCTGGTGTGGAAGGTGTTAGCAAAATTTGCTAACCACCGCCTGCTCACTATGGGGTCCTTCTCCCCATGATAGGTTGGAGCTCCACATGCTCGGAACACCCTGAGTGTCAAAGAATGTGCTCCCACTAGTGTCATCATCTTAGAACGAAACGAGTTCAACCTCTCATCTAGAACCTCCGAAATATCCTCCTTGACCGTGTCGAATATCACATGAGTCTAATCTAGAATTCAACGAGTAATCTCATACGAGATGAAATCCCTAGTCTGCTCATCGAGTTGCCCGACTCCAGATCCTGAGCCTGAACCCTCACCAACACCAGAACTTCTAACATGTCTGCCTCTAAATGACACCATACTGAAATATATATTTGGGAAACACAAAATCTACAATCCCCATGGTTTCATTGCAGCCCCCCTGAATCGTGTATGGATCCTCTGCTTCCAGTAGTACAGGCCCGTACTACCTTCCACATCTATCCGTACTTTCCTCAAGAATTTCCTTGACACAACCAAGTTACTTTATATCTACACAACTTTCCCTCATAGATAAGGTTCCTAGCACTAGATCTCATCCTAGGGTTTTCTAGGGCAAACTCCATACCACTCTCCGCCATCAGTTGCAGAAGGAACTATCGCTAACTAGCTCACGATACAATTACACACCACTAAAACTAGATAATTCTTTGAATGAAAGGTCTCACGCTACAACGGTTAGACTCAGACAAGAGTTGCACAATAGATTTAAAACCTAACCTTCTAAAATTATTTAGTTCTCATAGTATGCAACCTGGCGTATTCACTTACTAGTTAGTTGAAGTTAGTAATAACTCCTACAAGCACAAAACTAGTAGCATTCGAGCATCAAGTAACTAGAACCAAGCATAAACTAATCAGACCATCCTATCATTGACTGATCAATAGGAATACAAAGGCATCTCTCATAGCATTCTATCATGCAAAATCTGAGCAAATACCTAGCCCTAACTAGCATGCAATTCGTAGATTCACAGATCAAAACATATTAGATAACATGTATGGGTATTTTAGGAAACTTACTTGAGCTCGGTTGATTGCGTGCACCACACCTTTCTCTTTAATTAGAAACCCTTCTATAAAACATTTTCTTTTGGAAAATTCTACCAAATCCTCAGATACTCCCGAGAGTGTGCTCAAATCCCTCAAAAGCAAGGCTCTGATGCCGACTTGTAACGTCCTAAAAAATATGACCCAAAAATTTCATTTTTAATTTAAATCAAATAGTGTTCTAAAAACATCATCAATACAATCCAAATGAAAATAAGTGTATCAACATCATATTCATCAAAGTAAATCACAAAAGCGGAACTATGTGGTGTGTACGATGCAATCATCCCGAGCTCTCCCCTTTGGAACTAGAAGTACCTGAAACATAAATTGAAAATCATAAGCACAAAGCTTAGTGAGTTTCGCAAACTACCACATACTATACCTAATAAAACACATTTTGGGCCCCCGCCCTCCTTCTGGTCCCGCCCGATATCAAGCCCTGCTCGGTATAAAGATTTGTTATTCTTAGGCCCCGCCTGACATTGGGCCCTGCCCACTATAGACATACAATAAATATATCACATATCATGCTAACACAAACACACACACAAAAAGATCATAAAACAATAGCATACGATTGAGTCATCGGGCCTTGCCTGGCATCGAGCCCCGCCCGGTATACATAGCAACGCATAACACATGTAAGGGTTACGCAGACTCCTAGCATCCTAACATAATTAACAAGGGACAACATTGGTGCCTTAGACCCACTAAACTCAATGAGGAAACTCACCTCAGTTGATGAATCTCAATGAAAATCCCTGGCTACTGGTCCTACAAATCCCCAAGCTATCAATACAAAATAACACCCAATTTAACATGTGTGTTGCAATCCATATCCAACAATCCATGCTTAGGGTAAAAAGACCATTTTACCCCTCAGCTAGTTTGGTTAAAGACTAAGGCCCAAACTCACAATCTAAAGGGAACAAAAACCAAATAATCATCCAAGTCCCACTTATGGCCTAATTTTCCAAATCGGGCCTAAACCCTTACATGGGCCTTACCCTAAAGTCTACCTATTCTATTAGTCAAAACAATTATCTTCGGATGGCCCAACAAGACCCTATGCATCAAATCCCAAAAGGAATGGCTCAACCAAAGCCCAAAGAATGTGAAGCCTAACAAACTGAGTACGCAGGGAGTAATTAGCATGTACGCTCAACGTACTCGCTTGAGGGCTTGTATACTAAGCGTACCTACTTTTACACCTAACATACTCACCTATTCAGCCTAACTCGAGTTAAGCACTTGAAACTTAAGACCAAAAGTCGAAATCGTAGATCTAAACCCTAATAGGCGTCTAGAACCATAAATTCACTAACTTGGTGACTTTGCATGTCCCATAAGGACCCAACTTCAATATATAACAATCTACTTTCAATAAAGGGATTTCTCCTCATGCATGGGTGATTCTAAACCCTAAAGGTGCCAACTTTATGGATCTTCAACCTCGGAAACACTAAGAGTGGTAACTCATATCTCTTGGAGTGGTGACAAACCACTAGATCTTACTCGTGGGGCCAAAAAGGGTCTAAACCCCATATAAACTAGATCTAACCTTCTAATAAGCAAGGTCATAGCTTTTTACCCCAAACAAGCTGAAAATAAAGTAGATAATCTAGATCCACAAGCTCTTCCTTGATCTACAACCTTGCACCAAACTCCTTCTTCTTGAATATGAATGAAAAGACACCAAAATGCACACAATGAGTTCAAAACAGAACAATGGAGGCTAAGGAACAATTTTTAGGGTTTTGGAGGCTTAGGGGCTGGTAATGAGGCCAACCCTAATGACTTAAGGTTTTTATATAGGGTGTAACTGTTGGGTTTTGATCATTCTAACACTCCTATGGTGTACATGCAACCCTAAATACCTTGGATCTATGTTTTCTCTAATATACATGCAAATAATAATATTCCAAGGTATTACCCTATCTAGCATACAATCATAGATACTTGGGTAATAATATACATAGAATACATACCTCTTGTAGTGTAGCTTGACTCCATGGGGCTTGAGTGACTAGTGCCTCAAATGTGACACCTCAAATGGCTCAAACAACATCAAATGCTCTTGGAGTAACTTAAAGAGAAATCCATACTTCATAAAATCGGTTATCCCTTCTTTTACACATACTAGTGGCCGATTTTGGTGAATAATATGATGCTTATATAGTGTGTTACAATTAGGGTTACACCATGTAAACCCTAATGGTCATGACCTTTCATTTCCATGACCCATGGGTTATGTAACCTCCATGGAGCATCCTATGGGTTTAACCCAACTTGATTATCCATGGAGCTTTGGCCCATTATATAAGTTATGGATGATTTACACAATCAACCCATATATTTAATTAGTCTTCTGTTGATCACATAATTAATTCTAAATTAATTCTTGATCAATACTAACTAAATATTATTATTCTTATTATTAGTATATTAGAACTTATAATATATTAATAACCATAAATGTCTTATTTCTCTCATTTAGTCTATCCAAGTGCATGATGCCATGCAACCCAAATGGACCATGCCGGGTCGGGTCAAGTACATACCAAATATAGTTATGGACTTAGACATTAATCCAACAGTCTCCCACTTGGATAAGTCTAAAACTATTATTGCGTATCACTTCAAAACCCAACTAGCAATCGTAGCTTTTAAAAGCTCCTGTTGAACTCTAACCTTGTAACTGAACTCTGACCTTGTCAATGACTTGTCCATTAGATAAGGGATCATATAATCCTCCAATATAGATATCATATGGACTGAGACATGGATTAATAATCATTCTCTCTGTCCATTTGTTGTTTCCTGATTTTTGATTTATGAAGACTGACTGATTCAACAAATCACATCAGTCCTGGCTTGGCCAAGCACTCACATGTGTCATCACTAAATGATCGAGGGGCCCACAAATATCGCTTTTATCCTGAATGTAAAAGGAATGGATAAACTTCGACTCATATGACTTGTTCTACTACTTGTTGAGTCATACACAAAGGTGCGTTTTATAACGTCGAGTTACCAATTCGTTTTCGTGCAATCAATGTACTATCAACTCATAGTAACAACTCATATCTCTAGGTTTGAAGAATATAAGATATTATCGTCTCATGATCACTCGTGATAAGATCCATGAAGTGATTCAAATGAGCGCGGGTTGAATCCAATACTTAGAACTTATGAGCACTCATGAGTGTTGTAGCACCACTTTTTCCACCAACTTGGACCT